CCCAGTCCCTGGAGAGGTCTCACCTCTCACGGAGATGCACTCAGGGCCTATCAGGTGAGTCTCTTTTCACCACAGCACTGTGCACCTTTCTTTCTGGTGATTTTAGGTTGCTTTCTGAACCTGGTGACTTTGCACATGGGCCCTTTACGAGCCGGTTTTAATTTCTTTGTGAACCAGCTTTCCTGGGGTACTCCCAGATGTTTTAGTAGCAGGCAAAGTCAGATATTATGCCACTCGTCTCGATTGTGCTGGGTCCACAAAATGCCCACAGCGGGGGCACTCCCCGGCTCGGGGCCCTGCTCCTCCAGGGAGGGCTGCGTGCCTTTGGGCTGCTCCTGGGCGGCCGTGCAGCTGGCGGCTTGTGAAACCGGCGTTTTTCCTCTCCAGAAGGGAGTTTCTGGCTCTTCTGCCTCAATTAGGATTGTCCGTTGTTGCAAGAGTTCCTCTTATCCAGTTTTCAGTTCTGTCTCGGGTAATTTTTCCACGAGTAGTTGTAAATTGGCTGTGTCCGTGGGTGGAGGTGAGTTCAGAGTCTGCCTACGCTGCCATCTTGACTTCCTCCCCTGTTTGATGCTTCTTAAGTCTCTTAGTCTGTGGGTTCCTCCTTCCTCTATTTTTTTTCTTGCAACTTTTTGAAGTAATTGAGTTGTTGGTCTTTTAGAGTTTACCAACATTTCAAATTTTACTGATTGTACCGCACCATGATGTCATCAATATGTTTTTCTGTACCTTATTTTCTGTAATCTTGCATTTACCGAGATCTAGAGGCTTGATCACATTTGGGATTGAAAGGTTTTCTATGTTTTTCTTTTCAGCAAAATTACACAGGCAGTCTTATGTACATCTATCAGGAAGTATAATGTTCCACTGTGTCTTTTTTAGTATTAGCAGCAATCAGTGATCCTTGCCTTTATCCAATATTTTATTAAGATTTCGTAAAATAACAGTGCTCCATCATTCCTTTTTAATTTATTAATCAATAACTTTTTCTCCTCATGTATTATTACCTGGAAGTACAGTTCCTACAGAAAAGGCAGGTTAAATGCTCTGTTCTTTACATTATCCATTGTCAGAATAATGCGTTGATCCCTTAGCTGACTTCAAATGAATTTGCTTTTTTGTTTTTTGAATATAATTATGAAGTCAAAGATTTAAACACATTTGATGTTCTGATGTTATCTTCTCTTTGTTATCTAAAGTGGGAGCCTTTTAAAATTGGCACGTAAGACTTTTTACCAATTAAAGACAATTGTTTTTAATTATGTCCTAGCTTTCTGGTCTAATAATGTACTTGAGGTTTACCTTATACAACTCCTGTTCCTGTCCTCAGTTCACCCATTTCCACTTCTTCAAGGAACCCTAGTTCTGTTGGGTAGGAAATAGCATTTGAAGATGACAGTGTTTATGCTGTAGGTGCTGAGTACTTTTGGATTGGTCATTATTCCTTGGCCTTTTTGGTGAACAGAGCTAGGCAATATGTATTTTTAAAAAAGAGAAATACATTGAGTTCAAACTGATTTCTAATTCAAGTTTAGGAAAAAAAGCTTTACTTAATTTTGTAATTACGTATTTGTTCCTCTTTTTCTTACATTGAAATCTTGCTTCCTATGGTTATTGTCATAATTACTTATTTGCTTCTCTGTTTTAAATATGTTGAGGTTTTTTCCAGTTCTTTTTGTCCTTAGGGTATATTTCCACTCAATACGTGGGTAGGTTCATTTGTTTCATTTTGCTTTTAAATTTTAGGGCTTGTTTTTAATATTTTAATTTAATTCTACAGTTTGAAATATTTACGAAGTTCTAAAGTTTAATCTACAAAACAAGGTATGTTCAGAGAAATGTAGTTTCTGTTACTGTTCCTCTTACCCACTTCCCTCCCTCTTCCATAGACAAATTTATTTTGTGGTTAATTCTCATATTTTTTTCTTTAACTTTAATATAAGCAAAGTTTGTATGTGTTTATGTGCATGCATATCTGTGTATACTTTTAGTCTCCTTTTTCTTAGAAAACAATACCACGATATACATACTTATCTTGAACTTGTTTTTCTTACATACATACACACACACACAAACACACACAGAGGTAATAAACCTATAGCATTATGTAAAAGTGTCCCTCGTTTCTTTTAAGCTTCATAGTACTCCATTGTAAGGATTTGGCATAGTTCATTCAACCAGTCCTCTGTTGATGGCACTTTTGATTGTTTTTGATCTTTTGTTAAATTCCAGGTAGTGCTAAAATGACTAGTCTTCTGTGTACATCTTTTCATATATTTGCCGGTGTATCTTTGGGATAGATTCCGAAAAGAGGGCTTATTGGAAATGCATATGTAATTTTGCTAGTTATTGCCAGATTTTCCTCTTTAGGGGTCCTATACCACCTTCTGTCCACCTGCAGTGTACCCGAGTGCCTTTCCCTGTGGTCTGGCCAACCATATGTTGTTAAGCCTTTGGTCTTTGCTAATTTTGACAACATATGTCTGTATATCCATGAAATCGTTACCACAATGACGATAATGAACATATCTATCACTCCCAAAAGTTTTTTTTGGCCTCTTTGTAACACCTCTTTCCCACTACTCTCCAGCCTCCTCCTCCCCCTCAGACAACCATTGATCTGCTTTCTGTCATTGTAGATTAGTTTGTATTTTCTAGAATTTTGTACAAATGGAGTCATACGGTATGTATTTATAACAATGAGTCTACCCTGGTCCATGCACAGAAATGTACATCCTGGCTTCACCCCCAACCACAATAAAAACCAAAGCCATCCTTGCACTCCCAAGCAATTTTTGGAGCTACTTGGGACCCTGCCTTGCTCTTCCCAGAAAGCCTCATATGAGTCATAAATCTCTTCACACTCTCTTAGTGTTTGTGTGGCAACATCGTCTTGACATCTGAACAAAAGTTTAGGTGGGTGTCTGTCTTGCCTCTAGAGTGACCACAATAATTAATTGATACTGTGACCAAGATGTGTAGATGGTGACAACCACCACTGGGGGTCTGTCTTTTGCTTTGGCTTGCTGCCTACTAGCAAGTATGCACTTTGAGCTATTGCTTGCCAGCTAGCATGCTCTTTGAGCTGTGTTGGTGGCTGGTAGTAGGTTTGCACTTTGAGTTGTGCAGCTCTGTGCTACATTTGCTGAGTCCTATGAGCCTCTGTCATATATTCAATCAACTGAAGTTGGAAGTTATAATTGGCATTTAGGGAAAGGTATAAGGGAGTGGGCCTTCCCCAAAGGCACCCTGGGTCACATGTCTCAGTCTGGACCTATCACTGTGTCTCAGATTGAATCGTATTTCAATTCTGGCATTAGCTGTGACTGACACCAGGCTCAGGGGAATGACTGTTCCCCTGTCATTGTTGATTGTGTGTCTCAAGCAGGCATTGGCCCCCATTGTACAATGTGCTCAGCGGAAAGACTGATGCCCTGTGCAGTCTGTGAGCCCAACAGGTGGTTGCTTTAGTGGAAGAAGAGTACTTTGTGGCAGCTTCGCTGTTGCTGCTTATGCCTGTGCCATCAAAAAGAATCCTGATCCTGGGTTATAGGGAGAAGCCCTCTCGGCACCCCTGTGGCACAACCAAAGGCTCACTTTAACCATTGCCATGGGGGAGGCCCCTAACCTTGACAATACTTAGAGACTTCAGAGGAAGAAACTTATAAATATGAGCAGGGTAGAGAACCCTGCTACCACCGAAGTATATATCCAGTAGCAAAAAATAAGGAAGGACAGATAGAATAAGCCTGAATACAGGGAGAAGGAAACAGAAAACTGAAACAGAAGTTCACATTTTGACCCAATTGGAAATCTAAATTTACTAAAAGAATTTACACAACAAAGATAAGAGTGCTGACTGACTTTTACACCTTTACAAAATAGGTCTGAATTAACTTTAACATCTGCCAGAATGCACCAGTTGGCAAATCTTCATGGCCTTAATACTGGGGCTCAAATTACTTAGAGTTCCCTCTAAATTTAAATAAGGTACTCCCTATGATTTTAGGGGAGTTATTGAACATAAAATAGAGGACAAATAGGTATGATACATCTTAACCATCAGAAATACTGCCTTTCTAAATTCCTCATGGTCACAGCACCCGCTGCCCTAAAATACCCCATAATGGGCATGGATATTCCAACCCAATAAGTAATAAATTGTATGATGTTTATAATAGGCTTGACAAAATGGGACCCCGTGTACCCTCTTCAGTTAAAAAAGTAAATACAGCTGTATTAGTTTCTTACTGCTAGTGTAACAAATTACCAGAAAAGTACTGGCTTAAAAGAACACAAGTTTACCGTTTTACACTTCTGGATATCAGAAGTCCTAAATGACTTTCAGTGGGCTAAAATCAATGCATTGGCAGGACTGCATCACCTCTGGGGGCTCTAGAAGAGAATCCTTGCCTCTTCCATTTTATTGAGGCTGCCCACATTCCTCTGCTCATGGCCCCTTCTTCTATCTTCTAAGCTAGCAGTGTAGCATCTTCAAATCTCTCCCTGACTCTGCCTCTCTCTTGTTCTTATAAGGCCTAGAGATTACGTGGGCCCACCCAGATAATCCAGGATAATCTCTCCATCTCAAGAGTTTTAACTTAATCACATCGGCAAAATTCCCTTTTGGTATGTAAGTAACATATTAACAGTTTCCAGGGATTAGGATGCAGACATCTGTAGGGGGCCATCATCCTGCCTGTGACAATGGCCTGATGTAAATTACAACAGGGGCTTCAAGGATTGAAACCCATTCTACAGGACCTATTTAGAGGGGCAATCCACCCCCCCTCCTGTCCCCACTTCGCCGTTTCCTGATTTGGCCTGTTAAACTTGGAAGGTGTGAATAGCACCTCATGGTGAATTACTGCAACTGTAACACTCTGGTCCCATCCATCAAGGCCCCCAAACCCAATATGATTGGAATAACTGACTCCATCCAGGCAGCAACTGGTGAATATTTCACTATTGTAGATTTGGCAGATGTGCTCTGTTTAGGGCCTGTTTCGGCAACCTCTCAGTTGCAGTTTGCCTTCACCTTTGAAGGGCCATAATACACCTTGACAAAGCTACCCATGGGGTACCTCAGCAGCCCTGACATCACACACAATCTTTTCAGGCAAGATCTTAACTGCATCTGACTTTCTCCAGGAACACATGTATGGCATTACGTTGAAGACATTCTTCTCCAAGGAGACTCATTTGACACACATTCAGTATATACAAATACGAAGGAGCTCAATAAAGGGATGGGCCATTGCCTACATACAGTGCTAGGCTCAGCTACCTTAGTTAAATTCCTAAAATTATTTGGCAAGCCACAGGCTTCTCTATCCCTGACACTGTCAAGACACAGCTATTGACTCTTTCAGCACCCACAATGTTAAAACAAGCACAGTATCTTTTAGGCCTTCTTGGGTTCTGGAGGCAACATACTCCTCATTTACAAATTTTGCTTTTAAGTCTGTTTGCACTGTTACTTGCAAATCAGTCCAACATGAATGGGATTCCATCCAACAAAAGGCTCTAGGATCTGTTTAAATTACAATACAGTGGGTACCCCCATTATTACCCCCAGAGATTCCTTCACTACTGAGGTTTTAGCAACCTCTTTTCATTCCTCTTGGAGTGAAAGGACAAGGCCTCACTAAGACACTCCTTACCCCCTTCAGAGTTCTGCATATTGATAGTGACTAAGGCACTTATTTCACTTACTGAAATACACGATACTGAGCTTTCAAAAAGGCATGTGTTGGGACTTTCACCTCCCTTACATGTCTCACGCTCTTACAATTAAAGAAATAGTGCAAGAGTTCCCATATACCATTCACCGAGCTCTGCCCAATGCTAGCATATTCTAGTACATGCTATCAAAACTAGGAAAATAACATTGATAGAAGATGAAAAACTAATGTACAGACCTTACTCCAATTTTGCCAGTTTTCCTCCTAATGTAATTTTGCTGGTCCACAATCACACATTGCATTTAGTTGTCCTGTATCCTTAGTCTCCTCAAATCTGTGACAATTCCTCAGTCTTTGTTTTGATGACCTTGACACTTGTGAAGAGAACTGCTCACTTAATGTAGAATGGCCCATGTCTTACCATGATTAGGTTGAGGTTATGCATTTTGGCCAGTGTACCACAGAAGTGATGGTACATTACCTTTGAGGAACATCTCACTGGGGGGTTCCATGATGCTGATGTGATCATATATCTAGTCACTGGCAATGTTAACCTGCGTCACCTGGTTAAGGTCGTGGCTGCCTGGTTTCTCCACTGTAAAGTTACTATCTATTCTCTGTAGTTGTTAAATGTCTTGTGGAGAGATACTTGGAGACTATCCAAATACCCTGTTTCTCATCCTACATTGATTGGCCCACTCATTTTAGCATCAAACAATACTTGTCTGCAACAATTTTTACTGTGGTATTTGTCTAATGGCATCTATTTTTCTGTTTCTTCTGTTTATTCATTGAAATTCAACTATAAGAAGAAAGAGCTATCCTTTTTCTCTATTAACTTATTTACATCAGTACAGATTCACATTTATTTATTTTGTTGCTCAAATTGTCCTAGCTTTGTTGATAGGAAGCTCTTTCAAATTAGGTCCTGTGTACTTTTGATGCCCCTATTATTTTTTGACAACTTCTTTACTTTCTGGCACCCCCAAGATGCTCCAGGCCCATTTTGTATTTTCCCAGCTCTGGAATCAACATTTTTCTAAGAAGCCTTGTTTCTTTTTATTAGGGAATAGTATTTAGAAACCAAGATATAGATGTCTAGGTGTGATAATTGCTTCAGGGTATCATTGCTTCTAGGTCCTTTTAGCAGACAGAGGTAGGAAATGGATGCATATGTTTACTAACACACATTCACACGCATCTATATTTATATATCTGTCCCTCTATATATTAAAAACCATGAGTTAATACTAATGTCTCTGATGCTAATCTAACACCATGAGATTCATTCTAGCTCTCCCCCTTTCCTGATTTGTAACCAGATATTAAAACATAAAGCTACAATAAGCCAGCTCCATCAGCCATTTTCCTGAAGTCTCTGTGTGGAAGTTACAGTTTTTATTTTATAACAGAAAGTTAAAATGGGATACTCTCTGTTTCAGTTTTCTCTAAGACTCCAGAGATGGAGGGCAATAGGTGTCAAAGTTTTAAGATATATTCATATGATGTAATATTATGCAGCCAATAAAAACAATAAGTTTACTAAATAAGTTTTCATAACAAGAAATACTTTTTTATATGATAGTATGGCATAAGAATATGCTAATTGTTAAAATCTTCTAAATTATGTGCACATTCTATTTTCTAAGCTAAAGCTTATTTAAAACAAAAAGCAGAGCCTTGCTGCATGACACCATCTCCCTGCCAAGGGTGGCTACCTCAACTCTTTAAGCCAACTCCTCTGTTATTTACCTTCACTTTCCTAATATTTTTAGCCTGGTATTTCTTAATCAGTTTTATAATTTTATTTATTTATTTTTTCCCCCCAAAGCCCCAGTAGATAGTTGTATGCCATAGCTGCACATCCTTCCAGTCGCTGTACGTGGGACGCAGCCTCAGCATGGCGGTAGAAGCGGCGTGTCGGTGTGCGCCCGGGATCCGAACCCGGGCCGCCAGCAGCGGAGCGTGCGCACGTAACCACTAAGCCACGGGGCCGGCCCCTTAATCAGTTTTAGACGTCATCTGCCGACTTCCCATATGGGTCTTAGAGTTCCCATACCACACCCCCACTCCTCCTCACCCAGTAGGTTATATAAACATTTTTGGTTAGATCAGTAGTATACACATAATTATGATTATACACTGCTAGGACAAGTGGTACGTGAAGCTTGTAGATTCTTTGAAGAACTTTTTCCTGGAGTTAATTGCCATGTTTTTTAAAAAAATTCATTCATGCATATATCACTTAGTTTTTCCAAAAATGCAATAATAATGTCACATGCCTGTCAATGATATCTTTTCATATGGCCACATACATTAGTTCTTTTTTCTCCTGAGATCTTCCTTATAGATCCCTCTTCCCTGCTGCAGAATGTACTGACTGACATTTGGCTGCTGCCAGTTTTTTATCTTGATGTCACTTTCCCATATGTCTTGACATGAGTACAGCCATGTTTGGCCGCTCCATTGACCTACAGCCACCAGCACAAAAAAGAAATATAAAAGCTGCTTTCTGTGTGGTGGGAACCGGCCTTTTCCCGGGAACTGGCCTTTCTCCCACGGAGAGAGTTGCAAGTTGTAACATTTCAAGGTTCTTGGAGCGTCGTAGCCTGGAATGGACTGGGCACCTGTGCCGGGCTGAGACGATAACCAAAGAGAACAATGCACGTACACAACTACTGGGCTGGGACGGTAGCCAGGGGGCTCAGTGCACGTACGCCACTGATAACCATTTGTGCATGGGAACACTAAATGCTTGCTCTGCAAACTCTGTAATTGCTTACTCTGAAAATTACTGATGGTATAAAAACTGCTGGAAACTGAGCCCTAGTGAGAGTTCCACCTGTGGAAGGGACACCTTGCCCAGGACGTGTGATCCTTGCCCAGCCGCGTTGATTGACAGGGCTCTCCCGGCAGTGGGGCGTGGATGTTGTGAGTAACTGATTTGATGTGAAGTAATTGATTTGATATGAAGTAATTGATTTGATATGAAGTAATTGATTTGATGTGTTCTCTTTTCGGTCAACCTGGTGTTTCTCTTTCCGGTTGATTTGTGTCATTTCTCTTCAGCCGATGTGGGTGTTTTCCCTTTCCAGTTGGGCTGATGTTTTTTCCCTCTTAATATTTGACCTATTCAGATCTGTTTGCAGACTATCGCCTTTACTATCCTCTATATAATAAAATATACCTTCAGTCCATTTGTTTGGAGTGGAAAGTGTCTTTTACGTCTCCGATCGAATCCCCGAACCTCTCATAACACCATATTATACTAAGACTTAGCTTCAGTAACCCCTGTGACACTTCCTCTTTTGGGGGGGAGTTAGGGGTTCCTTATGTCTTCTCATTCTCGTTACCTCCAACTTGTACTCTACTTGCTTTATAAGAAAGGTGCATATGCATTTGATAATGATGCTTTTTTTTTAAGTCATTACATATCTAGAAATGTCTAGATTCACCCACACTAGGTTGATATGGCATAGAATTTAGGTCTGTGTTGATTTTTCTCGAGATGTCAGAAGAATTGCTTCTCTGTCTCCCTACTTCTAGAGGTGCTGTTGGGAAGCCCCTTGCCATACTAGCTGTTATTGGACCTGCTTTTTCTCACTGGATGTTTTAGGATTTTGTCTTTATATCAAGTGTTATAAAATTTTACTCTAAATGTAATAAGTCATTTTGTAGATATATTTTCTGTATATTTGTAGGTATCATAAGATGTTTTTTAGATTCTCAGAATTTCTCCTTTCTAAGGCTTAAAGAGACAAGGGAAAAAATGAAACATTTGTTAATATTTGCTCTTCCAGGAATTATGTTGAGTGCTTGCATATACAACATTTCTTTTAATTGTGAGATTCCACATAATTTGATTTTGTATGTACCCAGACCTGTCTGAATCAAGGAAATGCCCGTTTTATATGGGACATTCTGCATGGAGAAACTAGAGTGTTTGAGGACCTGAAGACCTACTGCTTCAGTCACTAATTTCCTTAGAATTCTCCATCCCCAGTTTGTTGGCACACAGTAGCTCCCCTTTTATTTAGTACTTCTCCCTTGTCTGTGCTCACCTATTTCCTTCTGCCTCTTCATGTCTGCTTTTTCAGAGGGTGGTGGTGTTCAGTGATGTGACTGTGGATTTCTCCCAGGAGGAGTGGGACTGCCTGGACTCTGTGCAGAGAGTTTTATACAGAGACGTGATGTTGGAGAACTACAGCAACCTAGTCTCAGTGGGTAAGGACACCTAGCCCCCAAATCTCAAAATCTGCTCTTAGCAATGTCTGCTTCCTACATTATGAAATTATTTAGCTGCCTTTCAAATAACCAGCTGAATTTCTGCTTTCTGTTCACAGAGTTTGGACTTTGTGGGATGGAAATAGGTGGCTTCAGAGATTATGGTGGAAGCTTATTTTCTCCATTTTTCATAATATATACTTCTCTCTGGTCCTTCCTATAATTATATTTATTTCCTGATCAAAGAACTGCATGTAAATTCTAGGACATCCCAGTATAACTCTTTTTTCTTGTGAGCAGGACTTTCCATTTCTAAGCCAGCTGTGATCTCCTTACTGGAGCAAGGGCAGGAGCCCTGGACAGATGACAGAGCACCAGCTAGAGGCCAGTGCTCAAGTAAGTGAGGGAATATCAGGGGTGTTGGAGGGGAGCATTTCAGGGAGTGACCCAGCTGCCAGTGAGGGAGTGACACCCTTGAGTTGTACCAAAACCATACTGCAGTGTGGTGTAACACTGGCATTGTTGGTAAGATTCAACTACCATATGTAAATAAGTCCTATGATAACAGTGATATTAATGACTAAATATATTAGGAGATTGAGTTAAAGACTCCTCAAGATGTAATACTAATGGAAAAATGACTGGCCTGAGGAAGAAGTGGATTTAGCTAACCATCAACTAATTTCTATGCTAAATAGTCTTCCAAGATTATCATAAGGTACAAATAGCAGTGGGTCAAAGGGAGAAACAAATAATCAAGTTAGTTCAGAAATATGAAAATGTATGTAATGGCTTTAGAGGATGGGTTAGTTTTTTTAAGTTTACCTGTACTCCATACTGCCTACTCCAAATGTTAGGCATATTCATACTGATACTATTGCTGTACCTATTGTATAAATGTTATACTAAATGTAGATGCTCAGACAAATATGATCCTTTTGCTGAAAGAAAGCCTAGGCCAAGAGTTAGGGCCTGGCCTGTGCAGTTAAGAATTGATGTTCCCCAAAGAAATGTTTGGCTCTTGCCCAGCTCATGAGAGGTAACCTCTGAGGCCTTAGAGGGTGATGAGAGTGTCTGATGAGAGTGTCTTTGTTTACTTGGGGTGCTTGGGCCACAACAGATAGTCTATGCAAACAATGTGATTTATCATGGGTTTTTTGAGCCATGTGGTATCAGCTGGACCTTTGGAGGGGCTAGAGACAGGGCAACTGTGGGGCCAGTCAGCCATGCATATGTAACTGACCCCCAACAAAAACCCTGGACACCAAAGTTTGGGTGAGCTTCTTAGGTGGCAATACTCCATGTGTGTAGCCACACATTGTTGCTGGGAGAAGTAAGCACTGTCCGCATAACTCCACTGAAAGAGGACAACTGGAAGCTTGTGCCTGGAACTCTTCCTGGACCCTGCCTATGTGCTCTTTGCTGATTTTAATGTGTATCCTTTCACTGTAATAAACTGAAACTGTGAGTATAATAGCTTTTCTGAGTTTTTTAGTCCTTCTGGTGCATCATGGATCCTGAAGTGTTGGGGATCTCCTGAACTACAGCCCCAATTCCTTTTGTGTGAAAAGGGATAAAAATTAACTCATTTAATGATTGTGTGGATAAGGAATAACATATGCAAAGTATCTGGCATAAAAGCAAATGTTTATGGTTGCTGTTATTATGGAATAATTTCTTATGTCAAGTAAGTATAATGAGCAAAAGACGTGGGTTAAGGACATTAAAATTGACTCCAGGAGAACTAGAGAGAAATTATCCTGAGAAAGAGCTCCAGAAATCTACATAGTGATCACCATAAGATTGTTGCTGAATACTAAACTATGCATGCATAGGATGAAGCTACATTAAGACCAGGCAAAGAATGACGACAAAGCTATAATCAGAACGGTTTCCAGAGGTCACACAGTAATAAGAGATGTTCGAGTTCTGACCAGCCAATGTGAAGAGTTCATTGAATACCTGTGGTTCAAGAGACCTGAGAATGGTCATTCCATAGTAGAATTAAACTAGCTCACAAGAAATACTATTCTAAACCTGTCCTAACAAAGCTTGATAATAACCTTGAAAGGATCAGACTTATCCTCAAATAACTTGACTGTATGCTAGAACAAAATCCAACAGTCTTTAAGGGAAATTAACAAATTCAGCATTAAACAATATAACATTCATGATTTCCACCATATAATCAAAAATTACTAGATATTGGGGCCAGCCTGGTTGTGTAGTGGTTAAGTTTGCGCATTCTGCTTCAGCGGCCTGGGGTTCGTGGGTTTGGATCCTGGGTGCAGACCAACACACCACTCATCAAGCCATGCTGTGGTGGCATCCCACATACAAAATAGAGAAAGATTGGCACAGATGTTAGCTCAAGGCCAATCTTCCTCAGCAAGGAAAATTACTATATATAGAAGAAGCAGGAAAATATGACCATAATCAGGTGAGATAATAGTGAATAGAAATGACAAGGATGATGAAATTAGCAAACAAGAATATTAAAATAACTATTATAAATATGTTTAATAAGCTTATGAAGTTAGAGGAAAACATGAATATAATGGAGAGAGAAATTGACAACAGTATAAAACCATATGAGATTTGGGGAGCATAAAAATAGTGAATGATTTTAACAGCAGATTACACAGTTTAGAAAAGAAGAAATTGCTTTTGAAAACAAATAGAAATTATGCAAAATGAAGCAAAGAGAGTGAGAAAAACAACAGTAACCTGTGGAACAGTGTCAAGTGGTCTAAAATGAATGTAGTTAGAATTCCAGAGAAAAAGGGATCAGCGAAGATATTTGAAAGAAGAATTACTGATTAATTTCCAAGTTAGATGAAAACTATAAATCCAGAGATCTGACTACTTCAAGGAACTCAAAACAGTATAAAATAAAGAAAATCTAGCTAGGTTCATCAAAATCAATTTTTGAAAAGCAATGATCAAGAGACAGCTTTATAAAGCAGCAAGAGAGAGAAAACTCATTAAAAACAGGAACAAAGGATTCTGAGGCTTTTCATCAGAAACTATGAAAGCAATGATAACTGGAAGACATCTTTAAAGTACTGAAAGAAACTGTCAAACTAGAATTTTATTTCTGGCAAAAATAGCCTTAAAAATAAATGTGTCAATGCTCTGAGGGGTTCTGCATCTAGCCAAGATGGAGTAACAGGAAGTTTTACTCTCCTGCCTGAAACAACAACAACAAAACAAGAAGAAAAAGAAAAATGATTTTTCAGGAACATGTCTGGATATCAGGCAATGGAGAATAGTGATTCTTGCGGGACAGGAAACAAAGTCGTATGATTGCCTCCTCTTACTGCCGTAAGAGATACTCTAGTATGCAACACAGAAAAGAAGTGAGGCAGAGCTCAGCAGGCTCCCTGAGTTGAGATGAAGCTGAGAGTCAGAGTGATCAAGGCAATAAGTGTTCAGAGGAGTACTAAACAAGAGAGCACTAAAGTGAGGGAATCTTCAAGATCTGCAGAAGGTCATCTTTGAGTGTTCAGCACAGTACTATCAGCAAATGGGAAACTACCTGAGGCTGGCAAAAAAAAAATTTCAAAAGATTGGAGTGAACCATGCCCAACACTCACACAAGGCAAGGAACAATACCAGTCAGATTGGAAAAATTCATAATTCATGGTGTATTGGTTAGACTCCTCAGCAATGGCTTATCTTAGTAGTGGGGATAGGAGACTGGTCAATAAAAAGCGTAATGCTTGGGATTTTCCTAAAAACGTCATTAAGGAAAGGATCAAACTATTTTCAAGTAATTTAACTGGATCCCAGAACAAAGCTCAAGAAGATTTAGGGGAATGCAAAATACAGCACTCAAGGTAAACCTCATAGTGTGTAGCATTCAATCAAAGATTACTATGCATGCAAAGGAGGAAAAAAAAAAGAAGACTCGTAATGATGGGAATTTTTAACCAATCAAAATTAACCCAGAACTGACAAATATTAGCATTAGCAGAAAACATTGACAATGATAATTATAAATGTTCAAAAATTAAGTAGAGACAGACACACAGTATATTTTTCAACTCAAATTTCATTTCTAGAGTTGAAAACTACAATGTCTAGGTTGAAAAATACACTGGATGGGGTTAATGATGGATTAGACATTGCAGAAGACATTAGATAGTGCAGAAGAAATTAGTGAACTTGAAAGCAAAGCAATACAAACTTATCTAATATGAAAGAAAAATTTTATAAAGAGCATTAGTGTCTGTGGGATAACTTCAAGCAGCCTTATCATACAAGTATTTGGAGTTCCCCCAAAAAGAGGAGTGGTAGCAGAAAATTTTTTGAAGAAATAATGGCTGAAACTTGACAAAAACAGATCCAACAAGCTTAGTGAGCCCATAGCAGAAGACACATTTAAGAAAAAAAAGGACATGTCATAATCAAATTGCTCAAAGGCATTATAGATATTTCAGGTTTCAAGATTTTTATGTTCTTTAGTCCTAGAGGAAGTTTCAGTTAAGCAAGGTAATAAGAGTCTGTCAAATGGTGTATGTTGTATCACAGTGACTGGAAATTTTCTCATCCAAAATCTGACTGGTTGCCTCTGGGTGGCACTCACTAGCTTTTAAAATAAAGCCCAGTCTACAGTCCACACAGAGCTTTGGAAAGAATTTGTTGGTACCAGCACTCCAGCTTCTAACAGGGCATCAAAGTGGTAATCTCTTTTTTTCCACCAGGTATCCTATTCTGTTTCAAGTTAACAACCTTTTTGAGCTGTGGCAATTCTGTTGGTTTCTGTTTAGCATTTCTACTCAATATTAACTAAACTGAATTTACATGCCTTCTGTTTTACAATACTAAATAAAGGAAGTATTCCTAGACAAACATAAGGTCTGTTCTTGTCATATGTTCAGGTAGAGGAGATGCAACCACTTCACATAAATTGTGTTCATTTCAATTTTTATCCAAGCTTTCAACTAAATCCCATCAACTATTACATTTTCATATCCTCCCAATCTAAATGTAGTCCTCAATAAGACTTCACCAATGGGTTTTGAATCATGGTGTATTGGATTCCCATGTCAAGGAGTCCCAGAAAAATTTCTTCCCTGCCCCTTGGCCATTTAACCCACACATTTGCATGTGGCCTTGGGTCTCCAGCCAGAGGTTGGGCCAAAGGGCCTTAGCCCTTTGCTCAATCCTTATACTGATTAGTTCTCCACAGGCAATTTGAAGTCAAATTCCTCATTGTTATCTTTGCCTTGAAGTTTTCTAGCTTCTTTCAAACCAGGGTAAATACAGCAGATTTGTTTAGTGCCCTTCAGTGTTGGACTGACACAGGCTTCTGTTGATCCACCCCATCTCCAATAGTGCTGCATTAAGACCTTTGTTTTGCTTCCATCATTTTTTGCTTTATTCTCATTTCTTAGCCATTCAAAGATTTCCACCTTTCTTTGATGAGTCCCTTGACTCTCACCTTTATTTTTCTCCATTTTACAAATCACTCTAATTGTCTTAGCTATCGTTTCAGCATATTCTTTTTCTTTGGTAGTAGCCCTGTGGCTGTAGCTCAGAATGGATGAAATACAAACTTGACATGGATTACAGGTAACAATAACCAAGGGATTGTGCATTAATCTTGTTTCTTTTTACTTTGCTTTTTCTTATGTATCCTATGAGCCAACTCCTCAGGAGTTAGATCTATCACTTCAAAATTTCGTTGGTAACTTTTACCTTCAGTAACTGATTGCCACATAGCTGCAGTTTTATTCTATGGTTACTAGGTGGCCATTCAGGAATCTAAGTTTCATCAGCCCCCACACTCTCATCTTTCTCATCCTAAACAGTACTTTTGCCATATTTCGGTGAACCAGAGTCATTCTAGCAAATCCCACTTCTGACACCATGTGCAGTCAGGAGGTCCCCAAGCCCACCTTAAGGTTCAGTGAGTTACTAAAATGACTCAGATTTCAGAAAAGCTGTTATACTCACATTCACAGTTTATTACAATGGAAGAATACAGATTAAAATCAGGGAAGAGGCACATAGAGGAGGGTGCAGGAGAGACCAGCATGAGCTTCCAGTTGTCCTATTCCAGTGGAGTCATGTGGACAGCATTTACTTTTCCCAGCAATGATGTGTGACAGCACAGAGTATTGGCAGCCAGAGAGGCTCACCTGACCTTTTGAGTTGGGGTTTTTATTGAGTGTTAGTCATGTAGGCATTGCTGACTGCCACTTGGCTGCCCTCAGTCTCCAGGTCCCTCAGAGGTCAAGTTGATACTGCATGACCTAAAGCCCCTATAATAAATCACATTCTTAGCGTAGATTATCTTGCATGGCCCAAGCAAGGCCTCTAGATCAACAAAGAATCTTATCAGAGAGGATATACCAAGGCCTGAGAGTTTACCTACCAGGAACGGGTCAAGGACCAAACCTTTGGGAAAGGTTAATCCTTTACTGCATAGGGACTTAGAGTGATTTAGTGATTTGCTCCCCAAATTTTAAGCTAGTATTTCAGTGCTGGGGTACAAAAGTACCCAGTTCCCCTAATTTTACCTCAAGCCCACATTGTTACACATTTTATTCTTTTCCTATTTATCTGAACTTAACAGCTGACTTCGCCCTCAGTCTCTTAGCCTTTGCTGAGTAATGTTCCCTCCACTAAGGTTATGTTTCATGGAATTCCCAAATAGTGTTTTCATTGAAGTCCCCGCAACATATGGAAGTCCAGCCACAGAAGTCTTCTCTAACTGAATTCATGTCTGACTCATCTGTTTTTCCTTAGGTTATAACTAGTCTGGATTTCTACCTCCTATTAACCTACGTTCAGATCATTTTCAATATATTACTTGTTAGCAAACTCTCTGTCCTCCTTTCACCTCAGAAACATCCTCTGGTTTTACTTATTATCATATTATCTTATGAGATAAATATATTCCTCCCCTTTTAGATTACACAGTATGATATTATGTGCATAAAAATATATATAATTAACCAATTCTTCCTTCAATTTGGATGATCACCCAGGGTAATATATATTTGACAAGCATCCCAAATAATTCTGAGTTATACAAGTTTTTGATTATCGTTAACTTAATCTTTTTCCTTAATCATTTTCCTCATCTTTCTATGTGGACTTTCTTCACTCTCTGTTTTCTTTTTTCATTTTCTGAAATTCATGGCTATATTTCAGTAGTGTCTTAACCATTCACTATTAGAATTTTATTTGAAAACATTTTCAGTTTACTTCCACCTTTTCTAGTGTAGAAGTTTTATTTCTCTCAGAATAGAAAAAAGGTAAATGTTTGATATTTATTTCATTTCAGATCAAGCATCAAAGTCTGTGACCAGGAAACCATCTTTAAGGAAAAAAATTAGTAATGTAAAAACATTCCAATTGGAGTTAATGGAAAGAATTAGAAAGCCAAGTTCAAGTGTCAGAGATGTTTGGGAGTATAAAGATCAGTTTGAGAGACAAAAGTTGCATCAGGAGGCACATTTAAGCCAAGTAATAATCACTCATGAAGATGTACCTGCTTTCAAACAGCATGTATCTCTTACTCTACATAAAAAAATTGAAAATGAAGAGAAACCATATGAATGTAAGGAATGTGGGAAGACTTTTAGTCGTGGCTCACAACTTACTCAACACCAGAGAACTCATACTGGTGAGAAACCCTTTGAATGTAGGGATTGTGGGAAGGCCTTTAGTTGTGGTTCAGCACTTACTAAACATCAAAAAATTCACACTGGTGAGAAACCTCATGAATGTAAGGAATGTGGGAAATCTTTTAGTTGTGGCTCAGACCTTTTACGACATAGAAGAATTCATACTGGTGAGAAACCCTATGAATGTAGACAATGTGGGAAGGCTTTTAGTTGGATCTCATACTTTTCTCAACATCAAAGAATTCATACCGGTGAGAAACCATACGAATGTAAGGAATGTGGAAAGGCTTTTAGAACTAGCTCATACCTTTCCCAACATCAGAAAATTCACACTGGTAAGAAACCATATGAATGTAAGGAATGTGGAAAGACATTTTGTTGGAGCTCCTATCTTACCAAACATCAGAGAAGTCATACTGGTGAGAAACCCTATGAATGTGTGGAATGTGGGAAGGCCTTTAATAAGAAATCAAAACTTGTTCAGCATCAGAGAATTCATACTGGTGAGAAACCTTATGAATGTAAAGAATGTGGAAAGGCCTTTACTAGGAGTTCAAGCGTTATTCAACATGAGAGAATTCATACTGGTGAGAAACCCTATGAATGTAAGGATTGTGGAAAGACCTTTAGTTGTAGCTCATACCTTTCTCAACATCAGAGATTTCACACTGGTAAAAAGCCCTATGAATGTAAAGAATGTGGGAAGGCATTTAGCTATCGCTCAAACTTCACTGTACATAAGAAAATGCATACAGGTGAGAAACCCTATGAATGCAAGAACTGTGGCAAGGCCTTCACTAGGAGCTCAAGCTTTATTCAACATCAGAGAATTCATAATGTTGATTAACCCAATGATTGAAAGGACTGTGTAGAAGACCTTTTCTTGGTTCTGAGTCTACATAACTGAAGAGAATGCAAACAGTGGAAACACCCTATGAAGAAAATAAATGTTGGAAAACATCAATAGTTCGAACTTATTTGGCATCAGAAGTACCCCATGAGAGTAACCATGGGGATTTACCATTTAAAATTAGTATCTATAATTTTTTTTCATACTCAACTTTTCAAACCATTTCAAATCTTACTCCAAAATATGAAAGTGCCTAAACTGGTCATTTTCCCTCAAATTCTTATCTCAGCACCATGTAATTATTAACTTATCTCACTTTTATGTTTCCTCTTGTTGATCTATATATTCTTATTTAAGTTAGCCTTATGTTTTGGGACCCTCTTTTCTACTAACTTGATCCTAAATATCTCTGCTTGCTCTCATTATTTAGTTATATAAATTTAATACTTTATAATAACTGAAATATATCTTTTTGTTTGAAAAGATTGCTTTTATTTTTCCTTTATAAAAGTAATACCACAAAATTTTAGAAAATATAGAGAAACATGTAAAAAGATGACTTGCAATTCTATCAACTGGAGCAAACCACTGTCAAATAATTGGATCAGATCCTTCCAGCTTTTGTTCTTATGATATATTAACGTGCTATAACTGTACTTTCATTTGCCACTCCTATACCAGAGAAATTTTCCTGTCCATTGTTAGAAATCCTTTATTGTTGTTAAATGCTTTCATTATGGGGCTGTATTTACCAAATACATTTGATGCTTTGCCTTTAATTTGGGGAGCTCATGAACAATGTCCTAGATCAGCATTTTTCTAGATGTCTCTGTATGCTTATCTTTTTCTTTTAGGAAAATTAATTTTTTTGCAAATAATGCACAAATACATTCTACTCTCGAAAAGATTTAAACATGACATATTCCTAAATTCCTGTTTCGTACCTACTCAAATCCCTGTACGCTCTCCAAAGGTAACCACTGTTATCAGTTTAGTCTTCATCATTCCAAATCTTTGATCCCTATACAAATATGTAAGTATGTTTTGTGGTATTTTGTGTATGCATTATGCAATAGGGATATTCTACTTTGTAGCATGATTGTGAGGATCAAATGAGTTAATAAACCTAAACTTCTTAGAACAGTACCTGTTGCATTATAATTATTCAGTAAGTGTTAGCCATCATGATTATTATTTGTAGAAAGGAACTTAAATATATTGTGTACCACAGTCAGTCTTACATATTTCTTATGATAGTTATTGTGTTATCAATAAAGTAAATATTAGGAAGACTTATCAGCAATTTTTCATTATTGAACATGAGATAATTCATTCCAAAGAATTAAAAGCAAAAACAGAACCTAATATGAAGGAAACACTTTATTCAGACCTCATCCTTTAGACTGCATAAAAATATCATGCAAAAAAAGGGCAGAGGAAAGATGTAGTAATGTGTCTTTATAATCAGTTCCAGAGAAGGAAAATCAATATAGAGGTCATGCTTCTGGATCAAAATCATAGTAATAACAAAAGACTTGACAGTAATAGTATAGCCTAAAATATCTGAATATCCATTTAATGCCCATCTAAGTAACCATTAACGTAAAGTGGAAATCAAGACTAAAATTGCAAAATCTCTGGAAGAGAATGAATGGCAAAGAGCTCACTGTATAAAAAAACCTGAAGGGTATAGCAAATACTATATCCAGTAAAATACATAAGACTAATGCATGACATGTCAGAATATCTGCAAGATTAATAATCAATTGCTGATTAATTAATCAAACATAAAAGTCATTTTTTAACAAAAAAGCACAGTAAAATAAACCAAAAAGCAATAAAAGGAAAGTATTAGGACATAGAGGCAGAAATAATTGACATAGAAACATAAAAAGTAATGAATCAATAGTATGGAAATATTTTATTTTTTAAACAAGCAAAAACAAATTGTTGATTCTGATGAAAAAACTATAAAAGTTGCGAATAAACAATGTAATGAATAAGTAATGGGTAGACATGACAAATGCATGCAAATTTAATAGTCTTTAAATCAGTACTATATTACTACTATTCTTAATACATTTCAAGTTCTAGACATAATTATAATTTTTTTAATAAAATGTAAACTTCTAGTATTGATCCAGGAAAAGGTAGAAAAATCTTATTAGACCAATAATCTCAGGGAGAAAAAAAGTAAATTAGAGTTAAATACCTACCCCTAAAGAAGTCACTAACCCAACATGTGGGAATGAGAAGTTAAAAATGTACAATATTTAAGGAACTATTCCAGAACATATAACTATGTGCAAAGCTTGCCATCTTCCATGATAAATCTAGCTCTGATGTTAAAACTTACCTAGATTGAAAAAAAAAAAAGAACATGGCCTGTTTCATTTATGAAAGTATGTTCAGGCATCTGAAATATATAAACTATAAATTTAGTTGTACAAAGAATAAAGGCATATAAGACTAAGGAATGTGACTTATTTCAAAATAATAATATTTACAATTATAATAATAGGTAAGGTTCTAAGTAAAAAGATTGAAAAAAGTTGTGATACAATTCTAAGGACTTCTGGATGTGTTCTTTTGAGTTGAGTTAGGATTGAAAAGGGAGGGTATTCCATACATACACATATATCCCTTTTTAATATTTAAATAACATACAACTAGTATCCTAATTTTTAATCATTAATTGTTAACCCACCAAAAAAAAAAAATGAATGGCCAACACCTTCAGCAGTGAGCAGTCTATGATATCATATGGTCATCCATTATAATCTGTAACACCCTGTCCTTTTCCTTGTATTGTGTAGCCCTGACATCATTTTTATTAATCTGTCACAGTCCAGCAGTTTCCACCATTTCCGTACACTATAGCAACTAGGTTTTATTGCAGTGAACACAATGCAGAACATAGTAGATGCCATTATAAAATAAATTACTGTGAATATAATATTGAGTGACTTGGGGTACTCATAGGTCACTGAGTTACCCATTTCAAATGCCATGTTCACAGGCATATGCTTTATTTTTCTGAGTGTGTCCTAAGGAACACTGTTCCCCCAAAGTGCTTCCTAGAAGAAGGGTTCTGTTATCAAGCAAGAGTGAGAAACACCATAATAAATTTCTCTCTGGGAGACACCCACTATAGATAAGCATATCAAAAGGCTCAGAAACCTTGTAATTTAAGTGTAAAAAAGACAAAAAAGCACAATTTACATTTTTAACCCAGCATGATTCAAAATAATTTTATTTTAAAATCCCCTTTGCCTCTAACAGATATCATCTTTGGGATTTGAATATAACTTCGTATTTGCTTAACTAAGAAGTATGGCTGGGAGGATAAAGACTCACAATTTGGCCACTAAGGGGTTTCCTGTGCCTATTGTATTATAGACAGCAACCTACCTGACATATGTGTGGGCTAATCGTTTTCTGCAGAGGGAAAATGCATGACGCCAATATTCACAAAGGTAATTTTTTCTTTCAACATTTTTATTAGTCCTGTGAGAGAGTTTTTAAAAATAATTTTTAATATTATAGTATATCTTAATAGGAAAAAGTGAGATTGGCATGTCTTTCATAAATCAATTTGAGAAAATCAGAGGTGCCTTTCTTAGTGGTAAAAATGTTAGCAAATAAAAGAATAGACAGGATAAAGTAACTAATTACAATGTTGACTCCGCCTCTACTCTTAAAATTTACTGTTATTAACTGATAAAATTCCCTTTTTCCTGTATGTAAATATATTACAACCTTTTATTAAACTCCAAAATTACAAAAATAACACATTTTCACAATCAACAGTGAAACTACATAGAAGTGAAGGAAAAAGTGTTTATCTCCATCTTTATTCTACAACCTCCCTCCTCTAAGCAAAAAAGCTATTGTTGAGGGCTCAATATATATCTTTTCATACCCTTTCTGAATGTTCATGCAAACTCCTTTATATATAAATGTTGCTTCGTTTTTTAAGAAAAGTGAAATCATGCTATACACATTTCTCTGTGGTTTTCTAATTCAAAACTACATCTTGGATATCCTTTCCTGTGTGTGTGTGTGTGTGTGTGTGTGTGTGTGTGTGTGTAAGATGGAGGGAACAGTTGTGGAGGAACATTTATTGTTTTCACCCCTTTTATTATAACAGAAGCAAATCTTCTCAGTGGTGAATTTGGTTTAAAAAGGTGTGCATAGGAAGCCAGAGGTGGAGCTAGAGGGAGGATGGCAGCATAGGAAGCACTAGGAGTCTGTCTCCCCATGTAGCCATTTGCACTGGCAGACTCTGATGTAACTATTTTTGAATGTTGGAGAAGGGTTGGATGGTAATTGTGGTTAATTTTGGTCAATTTCAGCTCTTAGTACAGTAGCAGCTATCCATCAGCCCAACCCCCAGCACCATGGCAGATATTCATTGTTTCTGGAACAGCTTGCAAGCAGCTTGTGGGTGCCAAAATGAGCAAGAAGAACTCGGTCTTCCAAAATCAGGGATCGGTGCTGATCACTGATTACTGTTTCTGATCTCAGAGGTGCAGGCATAGAGGCAGGCAGCCACTTTTTGCAAGTCCTTCTCACTCTGGCTGAAGTAATTCTAGGGGATTTGAAGGGATATTACTTTTCTTCTTTTTTCTTTTTCCCCTTTAGAGAGAGAGATATTCAATGACCAGGACATTCACAAGCAACCACACATACAGTGGAATTTATAAACTCACTTTGCATGCCCAGAGAAAGGCACAGGCTCAGAAAATACCTAAAAAGTCCTTAAGTTTACATGTTAGGCTGATCCTCAGCACAGAAACACCCTACAACAATCAAACAAAATGAAACAAAATAACAAACCCTAGGGAAGGAAAAGAATCGGATTTTCAGAGTTACCACATTGTGAGACTTAAATGTCCAGTTTTCAACAGCAAAAAAATCACAAGACATGAAAAGAAACAGAAAACTATGATACATTCAAAGGAAAAAAAATCAACGAAACTATCCCT